TTTTAAATAATTAAACCACTTATTAAACACCCAACTAAATATATCATGAAGTAGCAACAAATTTTCACGATAATTATATATATAAATATAGAATCTAATCTTACAATCTACTTTGTAGCGGTGGGAAAGAATATTTCTCATCACGGGGTAAGGATGGAGAGCATTTTCCTCCCATGAAATTTTATGGAGAATTTTCTCCATTCAGTGGGGTCCTACGAGGCCTCGCGGGATCCCCATCCCTGTAAAAATTAAAACAAATATAAATTAATTTTATTTTAAATTTAATTCATATTTCAAACTCAAACTCAAGTTCAAATTCAATTCAATCAAAATTAAATTTTACCTAATTTTACCTAACCCAACCCAACCCAATCCATAAAAATTAACCCAATTCATTCCCCTACTTAGATTTAATCTTAATCCTAATTCATTTCTCAATTTCATTTTCACCTTCCCCTCCATTGTTGGTTTAATTTTTGGTTATATTTTAGTTTAGCTTGGATTAATCTTTATTTATGTTTGGAACAAATTTGTTAATTATTGGTTTAGTTATTTATGTTGAATTGATTTTTATTTATATTTGGACCATTTATATTTGATTTTATATTTAAAAATTTTAGTTAATTGAATTTAAATTTTTAAAATTTTATTTATTATAATTGAATATTAATTAATTATATGTAAAAAATAAAAAAAAATTATAATTTAATATTAATTAATGAGAAATGGAGATCTCCACACGGGAAACGAGAATGGGGGGCAAAATCTGCCACCCATCAAAAATCTTCGCGGGATCCCCATTCCGCCATTCGTGAGGTTGAAGATGGAGAGGGACTCCTCAACCTCACGGACCCCGTTGACATCCCTAATAACAGATTGTAACATCAGGATCTCTAATAAAGGAAGGGGAGAGTCTCCTCCTCTTTAAATGGTTGTGGAGTTACAATCCATAAGAGGACGAAATATAACACAACTTTTTGATATAAATAAATAAATTAATTTCGTCTGCTTTGTACCAATCTCTCTCTCATTTGTACCATTTATGGAGTCTCTGTTTAGGTCTCACCACAAAGGTTATTGTTACTTAAGACTTTACTAAAACTACAAAATTTAAATTATCAATAGTTACTTAATTATGAGTAGTGATATAAAAATAATTTTTTATATATTATTAAATAAATAAATATACTTAATATTATAAATTTTAAATAAAAAAATTAATTATTTAAATAACATATAAAATTATATCTAAAAAAATAATATAAAAAATTATCTTTAAACTATTTTCCACCCAATTAGGCCGGTTCCTAGAGTCTCACAGAAGCATCCACAACAATTGTGTCACGTGGGTAATTATCATCAGACATGAGTGAGACGTGGCTCCATTGAAACTCATCCCAATAGGTGAGGCCGTTTCCACTTAGTGCCTCCCGCAGTGGAGACGGAACCACCTTTTCTTTGTCTTTTGGTTTTAGTATAGGCAAAAGGTGCAGATCACCCCCTAAACTCACCAACTGGTGGCAAATCACCCCCTCAACCCCAATTGGTGGCAAATCAACCCCTCAACTCACCAACTGGTGGCAAATCAGCCCCTCTCTTAACCTTTCCGTTAACATTTAACGGTTTGCTCATCAGGGGTTGTTTGCAACCG